CGAGCCGCGGACGAGTCCGGCGGAGGCAACACAGGGCCGTAGACAGGCGGGGGAGGCGCAAGCATGCGGTCGGGGGAGGGAAGACCCAAGAGGCAAAGGGCGGACACCGAAGGTGACTTCTGCTGCTGCTCCACATCGACTCTCCATGACAGCACCCCCAGAACGAGAACCCACTCCAGCACTGGTGCCACCGGGACAAGCCACGATAGTACCTCCAAGGCTAACACCCCCAGGACTAGCACCCCAGAACGAGAACCCTCTCCAGCACCGGTGCCACCCCCACGACAGCCGAGACAAGCCACCACAGTACCCCCAGGACTAGCACCCTCCTCAACGCCCGCACCCCCAGAGCTCGCAGACCCCTGCGGTGGCTGCGGCTACGGTGGCGGCGACTGCGGTTGCTGCTGCGGCTGCGACGGTGGTGACGGCGGCTGTTGCTGCAGCGGCGACGGCGGCGGCTGTTGTGGCAGCGGAGGAGGAGACACCGCGGCGGAGATAGGTGGTTAAATCGGAGCCGCAGGGCCCCCAAAGTCAGCTGACTCCTCTACCGTGACAACCGACAGGAGGGGAGTGACATGAGACACACCAGACGGGGCAGGACATGGAGGGAGAGGAGCAGGAGCTACCGGGGAAGTGGGGACCAGAAACAGGGAAGGTGAAACCGGGAGACCTCGGTGGGGAAAGCGGGTGTAGAAGGAGACAGACTCATCAAAAGTGGCGTTATGAGAGAGAATGAAACGGTGAGACGACCGGTGGTAAAAGTGCCAGTCAGACGCGTCTAGGGGGGAGCCAAGGGAGACACAAGGGACAGTGCGGGCAGTGAGCTTGTTTGTGCCAAAGGCACGAACGTGAGCAAGGCAGCCCTAGACGTGGAACGTAGACGCGTCACCAGGAGACCCGGTCCAGAGGAGGGTCACTGAATCCAACGTCTGCTGGGAGTGTGGCCACAGGTTAAGCTGATGAGCGTTGTAGCGGACAGCGAACGGTCACAGAAAAATGGGGTGCACCGGCATGGATCATGGAGGTACGAGCCACCTCCATGACCAAACCGATTCGATGCTCGGTGACCCCATTCTGCTGCGGGGAGTCTGGCAGGGTGTATGACTGGGTGATGCCATCCGCACGACATAATTGGCCAAGCTGACCAAATGTGAACACGTCGCCACGGTCGGAGTGAAGACGCAGCACAGGGAGGTCGCGGTGGACTCGCGCAGCTACGACCCACGGGATAAGAACGTCAGGCACGTCGACCTTCCGCTCCAAGGGAAACACCGTCGTGTAGCACATGTAGTCGTCAACAAGCACTAGAAAGTAGCGCTTGCGACACGGCCCAGGGACGGGGGCTGGGTCCCAGATGCCAGGTGCAAGGTCTGGAGTGGCACGGTGGCAAGGCGAAGCGAGGAGGAATGAGGAGCACAGTGCAGTCGGCCCTTGACACAGGGCGTGCATGGCGGCGCAGGCGAGGGAGGGAGGGCAGGAAGCGACGCAGGGAGACCTAAGACAAGAGAGTGCTGGGACATGTGATGCAGACGCGACAGTGCGGGGTGACCTAGGTGGTGGTGCCACACCAGCGACGGGTGAGTGAGCGACCGACACGAGCAAGCCGCAGCGCCCTGGGTAGACGCAAGCACCTGGGGAGACGCCCTCACTGGTGGGGACGCTGTCTCCAGCGTGAACAGGCCAGACACCGGGTCCCGGGGGAACGTGGTGAGGGGGGCACCTGTAGCGGCCTCGGTACAGACAGCGTACTGCTCGTGACCAGGAAACTTAGTGGTGACGTCAAGGTCCTGAAGACAGCCAACACCAACTAGGTTCCTGGAGAACGAGGGGATGTGCAAGCCTGTAAGAGGGCCCGAGGGAGCCGCCGGACAGGAAAGGGTAGTGGAGCTAAGGGCAACTACCGGACCTGAGCAGGGGCCAGCAAGTGCTACAGCGGAAGGGGCGGCAAGCAGTGTAATCGCAGTGTGGTCCCGAAAGAAGCATGTAGATGCACCAGAGTCTAGCGTGAAGGAGAGAGCAACGGTAGCGTCAGCCGGTGGAGGAGCTAGCATAGAGTCAAGGTTAAACAAGAGGTCCTACCCCTGACGCAGCAGGGGAGCCTAGACTACACACAGTGGACATGCCTACACTAGGCAAGACACGGTAATCTGGTCCGGTCACACAAGAGTCATCAGCATACATGGCATGCAAAGCAAAACAAATGTGATCCATATCCATCTTAAAGACCGGCACATGGCGATGCATGACTGGGCCATTCAAGGAGGTCCGGTGGAGAGCCAAAGCAGAGACAGAAGAGGTCGTCTAGGCTGCGATAGCAGCAGGCGGCGCTGTGACCGGTACGACCACACATAGTGCCACGAAGGGGGCCTGACTAGAGCTGGTACTGACAACTCACAAAGCTGAAGCTGCCACCCAACGCTGAGCTGCAAGGGCCGCCACCGCGGCCATCACCACCAGAGCCGCCGGGCCACTCCGGCGGGAGGCGACCCCACTGCTGCTGCTCCGGGGGATCAACGTCGGTACCGCCGGCACTCGCACCACCTCCACCACTACCGCCACCCCCACCACCCCTCTCTCTGCCACGCCCCCCATTGGGGCAGCGGCCCTTACCCTGACAAGGCCTCAGCAGCAGGGGCTGTCTCAGCGACAACGGCAGAAACGGCAGAGTAAGTGCACTGGGAGGGAGCACAAGCCTGGAAAATAGGGACCACCGCAGTACCACTAGACAGAGCGATAGTGCGCTGGCGGATTTCTACCGCATACAGGGTGGTGACAAAGGCAGTAAGGGTGATGTCACCTGGGTGCTGACTAAGGAAGTGGTCGCGGGCAGTGGTGAGGCGGTCAGGAAGGCGCGTGGTAATAAGGTGAAGGGTAGCGCAAAAAGGGGGAGGGAATGCAGCAAGTTGGGCCTTAGTGCTAGCAGCGCGGTAGCTAGTCTCAAGGGCGCGTAGATGAGTGGCAAGATCAGCGACAGTGGGGAAGGACGCAAGATCACGGAATAGCATGGGGAGGATCAGACGGCCAGCAGAGGTGGAGGAGGGAGTGGAATAGCTCGCAATGACCGCATCTAAGTACTCCTTCGCATTTGCTACAGCCGTAAAGCGGGGGCACTCGGATAGGGGGAGGCCTGACTGATAGGAAGCTGCGCTACGGCATCGCGTGACTCCTAGACAGCACTTGCAAGCTCAGCCGCGGCAAAGGCCTCACGTTCAGCAGACGTGGGGGCATCAAAGAGAGCAGCAGGCGCATCGGGGCAAGGTAGCTTACCGTCGACATGGACGGCCAGGGAATAGCCGTCCTTGCGCTAACTCGTCAGCTGACGGCGAAGGTCGACGAACCACGCCTCAAAATCAACCGCCCGGCCCTCCGCGTCAAGGCGGAGCACAGCGTCCGCCATCACCACGGCTACGGCAGCACGACCACACGGCGGTGTGGCCACACAGCGGCACGGCGACACAGCGGCACGGTGGCACCGCGGCACGACGAGCTGGGATGGCGCGGCTCGGCAAGCATAGTCCGGCGGCGCGGCGGTGGCGCGCAGGGGCGGTAGGAGCTGGGGCCGGCGGTAGTTGGGGCCGGCGCAAACTGGGGCTGGCTCAAACTGGGCCAGGTGAGGTGGGGCTAGCGAGCTAGGGGGCGGCCAGTGGGCGCGGGCTGGCGAGCGAGCACCAGTGAGCTGGGGCTGGCGAGCGGGGGCCGGCGAGCTAGGACCGGCGAGCGAGGGCCAGCGAGCGAGCTAGGGCCGGCGAGCTAGGGCCGGCGAGCGAGCTAGGTCCGGCGAGCTAGGGTCGGCGAGCTGGGGCCAGCGCGCGGCGAGCATGGGGCCAGCGGGCGAGCGTGGGGCCAGTGGGCGAGCGTGGGTCCAGTGGTGAGGGCTCGCATGGCGCGCGCAAGGGCCAGCGGCTAGCGGGGGGCCAGAGCGCTAACGTGGGGGCCAGCGGCGAGTGTGGGCCAGCGGGCGAGCGTGTGCTAGCGGGCGAGCGTGTGCTAGCGGGCGAGCGTGGGCCAGCGGGCGAGCGTGGGGGCCAGCGGGCGAGCGTGGGGGCCAGTGGGCGAGCGTGGGGGCCAGCGGGCGAGCGTGGGGGCCATCGGGCGAGAGTGGGGGCCAGCGGCGAGCGTGGGCCAGCGGGCGAGCGTGGGGGCGAGCGGCGAGCGTGGGCCAGCGGGCGAGCGTGGGGCCAGCGGCGAGCGTGGGGCCGGCGGGCGAGGGCTCGCGCGGCGCACGATAGGGAGGGGGCTAGGGACTAGGGCGATCTAGGGCGGAAGCGCAGGTGAGGGACCTAACCTAGAGTGATATCATCTCAGAATAACGCATTAGTTAGAATGGAGGGTACAGGGTGACTTTATGCTAGTGAGTTGTACTCTCTAAGAGCATGCACCTATCTAGCCCATAATAACATATGCATATATGTTTGACAAGGTCCTCTCCCGATATAAACGGACTACTCTACGGAAGACTAAGCGGGCAGGAACGGGGCTCTGATACTAGCTGTTATGAATTAATCAGTAGTACTAGGTAGTGTGATAAAGGAGTTGTGATTCAAGAAGTGTCGATACAACTGAGGGCCTAGGCATTTATAGGCACGAACAGGGCTAGCCGAGAACCACGCGAACAGGTTGGGGCGGTTCGGTTGGCAAAAGCTACGGAAGCGCCACGCGTCGAGGTTTGGATTCGCAAAATGGTTCGGGACTGAAGAAGTTGGCCGAGCCTGGACTTCCGAGAGTCAAGGGCGTACGCACTACAGTCGAGCCCAGTAAGGAAAAGGGGATTTCCTTACACCGCATGCACATGTAACTTGCATGAAGCCATACACAAATATAGCATACCATTATTCAAGCTATGTCTTAATAGTGCACATTGCACAAGCTAGGAAAAACTAGGCAGCCATAGTATACAAGAGGAGGTTTTGGCTAGGGGGAGAAGTAATGAGAGAAAAGGTGCATGATTAGAAAGAGAGAGAGGTACAAGGAGGGGGTTGTACCCCCTACAATAGAGTTCAATAAAACCTACCAAGTATACCAATTATATAACAAAATATATAAATTAACAGCCTCTTCATTAGTATTGGTACATGTACGTCCATTTCCACTAAAATGCAACAAGGGTCTTGCACCCTCGTACCCTCCCAAAGCCCCATAACTAGTTGGGCAGCATAAGCTGGCCAAAAGTTTTACAGGTTGAAAATCCTACTGTCGATTTCAAAAACGCTACGCCATCCTGCACCAGCACACACAAAAGGTATTCCCACAACAAGCAAATGGTGTGTTCTTGTCAGTCCACTATGACAAGGACGGTAGAGGAATGAAGTATGGGAATTGGAGAAATTTCTTTGGTTGAGAGGTGAATGAGCATGCCAGTGATATGTCCAGTTAACTATCACCGCCCTTCCAATTCCCACTCGCATCCCTCCTCCCCTCCATTTGCACTCACCGGCACAGGCTGGCCATTCGTCGTGCCGCTGCCTGCTGATACAACGGCACCGGCCCCATGGGGATCTGCCGCGGAAACAGCTTCGGCGCCACCACGTTCCGTATCCCGCCGAACACATGGGCGATCCTGGGTCTTAGCGGCTCACGAAGCGAGGCCGAAGGCGTGATGTTGATGTCCTTGAACGTGACTCCTCGGCACGGCACTGTAGACGAGCAGTTGAGGTAAATGCCCTCCGTATAGTCTGTGGTGCCGATTATATTGGAATAGGAGACATCAGATATGGCCACGGCATGGTCGGAAGATTCCTCGCAGTGAGACACGGAGTTTCGATCGCAGTAGTGCTGGTCAATCACTATGGGCCTCTTAACGTTCACCATGTACACGTTCCTGTAGCTCACGTTGGAGACCGACCCCGAGCCGCCCTGATACGTCTTTATTCTGAGCCCGTTGGAGAGCGCCATGAGAACCACGTTCTTAATCACCACGTTCTGCACGCACGCTGTGGATCCCATGTCGCCTAGACTGCCGATGCTGGTGGGGGGGGAGGAGAGGGGGGGGGGGCGTGGGGGGCGTGGGGGGGAGTGGAAGAGGGAGGTTGAAGCCGTTGAGGAGAGCAAGATGTGGAGGTGAAGTGGGAATTGAGAGAGGGCGGAGAGGTGGGTGGGGGTGAAGAGAGGGAGGGAGAGGGGGGGGGGGAGTAAGAGAATAAACAGAGAATTGAGGGGTTTGGGAGGGTTGAGGGAAGGGGAGGGGATCATTGGTTGGAGGTGGAGGTGTGAGGGGGCAGAGAGGAAGGGGATACGAACCAGGAGACGGAAGGGGAGTGCACGCACATGGTGCATCAAAGGCAGCATGATTCGCATCTTTGGCAGCATGTGGCATGTGCCTTGCCACGTCAGCGCACCTTATTCCATGGCCTGCAATGCACCACGTGTCCTCCACACGCACGTTGTTGGACCCCGCTTCAATCACCACGTTGTCGTCTCCCCCGTGCAGCGTGCATCTCTTTACAGTCACACCCCGACTGGCAGAGATATGGATGGAGTCGGTGTTGGGTGAGTCGGAGGGGCTCGTTGTTGTCACGTTGATCACCACAGCGCCTATCGTTCGCGAAATCTTGAGATGAATCGTGCCTGGGTTACTGATAGGTGGGCGAAGTGATGCGAGGCAGGGAACAACGGGGGGGGAGGGGGTGAGAAAGAGGATAGGCGTTACACGGACCGAACTGCACTCGGGCCAAGGGAATAAATCCGGTTGTGCAGGATACGGGTGAAGCAGCAATGAGTGAAGGGGGTCCTCTACACCAGGAATCGCCGTGTTCTCACCGCAGCGTGATGCCCTGGATGACCGAGTTGTTGCAGCGGTACACCGTCATCAGCATGGGCCGGTCCACGCGCAGCTGCCCCGCCTCCCACATGCGCCACCACTGCGCGCCGCGCCCGTCCACGGCGCCGCGCCCCGACACCATGAGCCGCGGGATGGAGCTGAAGGAGAGCACCGCGTCTCGCGCGGGCGCCACGAACGGGCCTGTCGGGCCGAGGATCACGCCGTCCAGCTGCGGAGCGGGGGGGGGTGGCGGGGGGGGGGGGGAGGGGGAAAGAGGGGGAGGTGGGTGGGGAGGGAGGTGGGGAAGAGGGAGTTGAGTTGAGGGGAGTGAGGACAGTGAGGGAGGATTGGGAGTGCGCAGGACGAGGGTGAGGGAGGAAACGCTAGCGTAGTACCGAATGGACAAGGCAAGGGCATATGGGCCGTGAAATGGTTACCTTAAAAACCAAGCCCGGGCCGCACGGTCCTTCCATCTCGAGGTAAGTCACGGCGTACCACCCCTGCGGCACGATCACCGCCGTCGGCAGGTTCTGCGCGCGGCCGAACGAGCACGCCGCGGCGAACGCGGCGGCAAACGCGCGGGTTTCGTCCTTCGCCCCGTTCCCGAGCGCGCCGAAGCGCCGCACGTTAAACTGCTGGCGGGGCGGAAGCGGCGGAAGCTTCACCAGATACTCCGCCCCGCGCCCAGGCCCCGCCCACTCGCCCCCCCCCGGCGGAATCGGGTCCGGCTGGGTCGCGGGGGGCCTAGGCGACGGGGAGGGAGACGGTTTGGGGGAGGGTCGCGGGGACGTTTTGGGGGAGGGGCGTGGTGACGGTTGCGTTGGCGACGGGCTTCGCCGGATGGGCCCTGTCTTGAAGCGGTTCACGGGCTTGCCCGACGATGCCGCTGCTTGAGTGCTTCCCGCGCTTTCTGCGCCGTTGCTGCCGGGAAATATCCCGGATTGTCGCGCGGATGCGAGTCGCGAGGAGGAGGAGGAGGAGGAGGAGGAGGAGGAGGAGGAGGAGGAGGAGGAGGAGGAGGAGGAGGAGGAGGAGGAGGAGGAGGAGGAGGAGGAGGAGGAGGAGGGAGTGAAGATGGAAGTTGGGAAGAGAAACGAGTTGGGTGTAAGCTGAAAGAGGAAGTCAGAGTTGGAGACTTCTGCAACGGGGAGATGTGGTGGTCGAGAGAGACATGGATTGGGATATGGAGGGGGGGGAGAGGGGGGGGGATAAGGGATGAGGTGAAAAGCGAGAGTCCGAGAGACAGAGGGGCAGATCACGCATCGTGGGAAGGGGTTGGCTTGCCGGGACGGATATTGGCTGGGGTCAGGGGGAAGAGCAGTGAAGCAGCGGTAACCAGCCACTTGAAACCCTCGAAAGCCCTTTGGAAGAATCGGAGCCGCGCCATCGCCGCGATGAGCGGCAAATCGTTAATCGAGAGGGGGCAGGCGCGTGAAACGGCGAGGGTAGGTGAAGGCCATACCCTGTGCGCGAGAGGCGGGGACGGCTGAAAGGAGCGAGCTGAGGAGCAGGAGGAGAAATAGATGACGAGCACGACGTAGGTTAGACGGATCCATGGTTAATGGCGTAGGTGCTGACGTGGTTGCTGATGGCATCGGGCCTAGGCGCTTCAACTCCGGGAGGCGGGTTTCTGGTCGTGCGGGGTTGATGCACGCCGCTAATGAACGCCAAGAGTGTGCGGGTCTGTTCAGAGGCAAGGGCGTGCCTTGTGCTTACTAGTCTGAGGGTCTAAAGCTGCCGAGTGTGATCTATTTGAAGGGGACTACTCGCCGGCTGAACTTAGCAGCACTGGTGCTCGGGGTGGTGCTACCAGAATCAACTGACGTTCTCTTCCTACTTTCACGGGACGGGGACGGTCCAAACTCTCCTACAAAGCTGGAGTCTACAATCGGCGTCTCTGTTACTGTCGTTCCCACAGCTTCAGTCGCGTTGGCGCGCGCGTGCTTTGCAGCAGTCAAGTCAAGGACGCGATTCGGGGGAAGGTGAGGAGGGTGGGGGTACTCAGTGCCTGGTTGCATTCAGTAAATCATGGTCGGGCGCGAGCGCCTTGAACAGGGGATTCGAGGCGAGGCCAGCAAGAATTCGCACACATCACATCACATCACATGCCTCGCGACCGCTACTTCCTACGACGAGAAGCATCTTGTTGGTTTTTGAAACAAGTACGGTCGCTACCCTGAATCCTGATTAGTGCTCGTGGGGGGAATTTGGTAGAGCGCATGGGGCTGGGATTCCGCTCGAGTTGTTGATGCGTTCCTCTCGCGTCCAACCTCCAGCACCACTCTGGAATCTCGATTCAAGAATGCCGACTCAACCAGTTTCCGAAGCGCGTTTGCAGGGAGGAAGAGTACGTGAGATGCTGGCCGAATCGCGAAGGGGCTCGGCCCAACATGCGGCTCGAGACGAGACAGTGCGATTCGGTTGTTTTTATTGTCAATGTTCTCGAATAACCAAAATAACCTCGGTTTAAGTGGTTATTTGTGCCCCAAACGGAGGTTGTTGGAACAAGTGATTGTACTGTAGCACTTGCATGAGCCTCACGCGCCACGAGTCGCATTCTGGGGCGGTGTTCACCAGCCAGTGCAAATCTGGTGGCAATGATGAGATACAGTACTGTGCAACTAGGGAAGCGCAACCCCTCAGACCATTATACCCATTGGCCCGTAGGCTCTAAATGTTACAATGCTAACATCAAGCATCATCTAAAGCAAGCCTCAAAATTGGTTTTAGGGCACTCCTAAGAAACAGAGCCCCACAAAATTTTTGTCCTGCCTCTGAGGGTAAAAAAAAATCCAGGTCTGAAATGCCAGGGTAAAAAAAATTCCGGGGTCTGAGTGTCGAGAGACCCGCATGGGTTACCCTTGAGAAGATCCTTGGGGAAGGGCCACGGGTGCAGAGCCTGGGGGGCTATGGGTGCTCTGACCCGCTATTAACAAGCCTTTTTAACTCAGTGGTTAGTTGCTGAGTTTCTAACCTGGTATGAGAGCATTGGTGACTCATGTTCAATTCCCAGTGCTAGCGCTGCAAAGGCGCTCGTGTCCTCCGCATATCCCAGCGGGGGGATGTCGAGAGACCCGCTGGGGTTACTCTTGAGAAGATTCTCGGGGAAGGGCCACAGGTGCAGAGCCCGGAGGGTTATGGGCGCACTGACCCTCTATTAACAAGCCTTTAACTCAATGGTTAGTGGCCGAGTTTCTAACACTGGGCAATCAGAGTAAAAAATTGGCAATCCGGCCGAAGAATTTGCGATTTTACTAAGTCAGACAAAATGTTAGCCTACTTATCAGATGTTATCACACAGATAACATGCCGTAGCTAACCTGCCTAGCCTAGTGATCGTATGTTATGACATATCTAACAATGCCTACATCATGTCTTTGATAGCCTCTGCTAACGCTGCTTGCCTGACTGCTTGCCTGCCTGCCTGCCTATCAGCAATATGCAACACAACTACCACTTCTGCTACAAGTCTACACTTCCTGCATTGGGGTCTACCAGTGGAATCGGCGCACTGGTGCCCTCGCTTGGTGGCTGCTCGCTGGCAGTGGGAATAGCAGAGCTGAGGTCTCAGAGAGGACGGCACGACTTCTCGCCCCAGAAAACAGCTGCCACGTCAAACCAGTTAATCTGGTACTGCAGCAGGGAGCAAAGCATGAGCTTCCCAAGGGTGTCATCACCCACGTAGCCACGCGCCTATAATTTGATGAAGTTTTGCTTAGAGAAACCCTGCTCGCACTCGACACGGCTGAGCGGGAGCACTGCGACCGCCTGCCACAGGCGCTGGATGTTGGGGTAGCTCCGCTGCCATTCGTTGTTGTTGAGCGTTAGAGTGAGTGCCTGGTGGAAGTTGTCATCCTTGTACTGGGAGCCTTATAGTGGAGGTGAACATCCACAGCTCCAGCAGCGCCTTGTCGAAGTCGAATCTTGCATGCGCACTCAGTGAAAGAGGTGAAAAAACAATCGAGAGACGAGTAAGCACACACGGGGAGCAACAGGACGAGTCATCTAAACTGCAACGTCAAAGCTAGGAAAACAAACAAATCTGACGCTCAAACTTACCAAGAAGCTTGCCATCAAAGAGGTTGTGCATCTGCCGCAGCCACTGCTTGCATCGCGCCAGATGCCGCTCGTCATCAAGGGGGTAGTCCTTGACCCTGAACAGCTTCGTGTCATCGAGGTTGATCAGGTCCTTGAAGCGCCCGCGGATGACCGACTACGTCCACGGCAAATTTGCGGCATACGACGGCAGAGTCGTCGATGTGGCTCGCGGTCGCATGTCCTTCCAGCGGTCGCTCATTAAGGACGTACTCCAAGGACTGCGCATTCCCCTCGGAATCCACCCCCTCCACCCGCACTCGGCACTTGTCAGGAGACGCGTGCTTCTGCAGGAACGCACTCAGCTTCTTGCTGGCCCCGTTGCCGAAGTACTTGCCGCGCTGCACTTGATGTAACGATCGGTCATGCGGTTGCAGGTGTTGTCAATGAGCGTGGGCACCATGGTCAAGTCGATCTGCAAGTCATCGGGGGAAAGACACGTAACAATGAATGGCACGGTTAGATATGGTTGACTAGCATTCGAGAGTACTGCGCATTGAACGAGCCTTAACGAGCCTCACCTGACACTGCTGGAAGCGAGTGTTGAGGTGGTTCAGCTATTCCATAATGTCGACTAGAAAGTACAGCATAAACTGCACCTTGAACGAGGTTACCAGCTCGAAAATGCCACTCGGATGGTCGCACACAAGGACCACAGCTGCCGACAACACCTCGGCGAATCACGCCAGAGCCTCCCCACGCGAGAGCCATCATATGGCATAGATTCCTTCAGCCTCGAGATTAGTGAAACAGAAGATAAGTTGGAAGTTCTTGAATGCTGAGTGCCGAACATTCGACCGGCCGACCATTTCCGCGAAGCCGCGGACAAGAATGTCGATGTCATTGAGTTTGGGAGTGGAAGCCGCAGCATCCTTTGCCACAAGTGCTTCCCTAGAAATGCAGGAAAGTAGGGTGAGAGGGGGAGGGAGGAGAGGAGCAACGTCATTAGTGTAGTGTTCGTGCGGAAAGGCATGAGAGAGGGGAGCTCGGCAAGAATAGCATCGGAACCTGTCACACACCTGTGCGTGATGCAATGCGTGGTGACTAGATGGGCGATTTGCCTCCTCAGCCTAGTGACCGCTCCTATCTGGGAGCCCATCATTACCTACGCCCCATCTATTGCGATGCCGACGGTCTTCTGCTGGTCAAGGCCAATGGAGGCGACGAACTCCAGGAGCATCGGTGTCAGCGGCGCGGCGTCCGTACGGTCGATAGCGAGTAAGGTAACAAACTCGGTGACCACAGCATTTCTGTGGAAGAAAGTAAGGTAGAGTATCAAAATTTTCCCGTGGATGCGGTCGGTACTCTCGTCGATGGAGATGCCGAGGTACAGTAAGGCGAGGAGAGGATGTGGACGAGCTGCTCGTTGCATAGATAGTCCGAGATGGCCTTCGTCCCTTGCTTGAAACCGTAATAGAGGGGCGAGAATGAGACAAACGAACAAGAGGACGGGTGAGCAAGCGAGTGAGCGCCACATAGAAACGCAAACAGGGGCGGGGCATGCACGCATGATCGTTAAATAAAGACGGTTGCATCAGTAAAAAATGGAAGCCTTACTCGGTGTAGTAAGTCCCGTATGCACCACCTTGGGGCAAATCCGGCAAACCTTCCGAGGCGAGGAAGAAGCACAGCGCCACGTAGAGGGAGATGGGTGCGTCGGCTTTGCAGACAAACACCGCGATGCGCAGAACGCGCATCAGATGCTTCGTCGACGCGCCGGTAGTTCGCCAGCGTTCGAGAGTGCGTTGCAGCTCCTTCTCCCGTGCTCGCTCCTCTTGCGCCTTCACTACAACCTTGTGTGCGTGCGTGCCGAGGGGAATGCGGATGCTCCCAACTTGCAGGTCGCGGGCTCCCTCGCCTTTCTTGCAGTAGCTCGTCACTGAGAACCCGTCACCAAACTGCAAACAGATAGCACACTTAAGGGCGGGGCGGCCGTTTTTCATACAAGTTAGGCGCAACCATGGAAAGCGGCGCAACCAATCATCAACAACGGGAGATGCTGGATAAGGAGGAGGCGTGGGAGCAAGCGGCGGAGCCGAAGAGGGAATTGACCTCTTCGGTGGCGGAGCCCATGGGATTCGGCTTTTTGTCCAGGAGCAGCTAGCTTTGCGCTTAGGCGCTGGGGTCACGAGAAGCTCGGTAGACATTGTGGCGGCACCAGATGTTCCCTCGCCATGCTCCTCGTCGAGGTCGACATGGTGGATCCAGCGCGAGGAGGAGACAGGAGATACGGGTTCGAAGGGATAGCAAATGAGATTGTGGTGGTGGGGTGGTCGCATGTACAGGACTACGTGGCAGGGCGAACACCCCAAAAACGCTTAGGCCATTGCGAGGGGGTGGCTCAGAGAGATCATCGTCATTGGCCTCCATGGGGGAGGACTAGTATGGCTGGGTGAGAGCAAACAAGAGGGAACATGCAGAGGAAGAAACCAGAGGCGTTTTGAAGGAGAGTCGCTTGGATGGGAAGACCCTTCATGCTCTGGAAGGGCTCAGTCAAGAACATCTTGACGTCCCGCTGCGTGCCTAGTACGAGGCACGGTGCTGCATGCACCTGCCAGGGCACATGGCTGGCAGCAACTCTGTTAGAACTCAGCCACTAACCACTGAGTTAAAATGGCTTGTTAATAGCGGGTCAGTGCGCCCATAGCCCCCCACGCTCTGCACATGTGGCCCTTCCCCAAGGATCTTCTCAAGGGTAACCCCAGCGGGTCTCTCGACAAACTCGGCCGCGCTGCGCATCCTTTCGTGCCAGCAAGGCAAGAAAGCTGCCAAAGTACCCAATTAGAGGCCACCGAACCATCCGGCGTGATGGCGAGAGCAGTTGAACATGCCCCGCAAAATTGCCTGGAGCTGCACACGTGGCTATTATCACACGTGTGAAATCTAGCACGAAACCTACCCTAGAGGATTTCTGTATCAGGGTGATTTTTTCA